GTAGAAACCATGAGAGCAGGATAGAGCGCCAGGGGCAAGGGGTGATACAAATTTTCTTTTTTCTTTTTAAGATTTTATCTACTTATGAGAGAGGGAGAGCATGGAGGGGAGGAGCAGAGGGAGAGGGCAAGCCAACTCCGGGCTGAGTGCAGAGCCCAACGCGGGGCTCGATCCCATGACCCTGAGATCATGACCTGAGCCGAAGCCAAGAGTTAGACGCTTACCCGACTGAGCCACCCAGACGCCCCCAGCGGTGGTATGATTTTAAGCGACGGGTCAGGATGGCTTTGCAGAGGAGATAATACTTGAATAAAGAGCTCAGAAGGGTAGAGCGGGACGCCACGGGGATACACCTGGGAAAGAGCTTTGGAAGCTGAGCACCAGCCAGGGCAGAGGCCCAAGGGAGTGAGTTGGAAGTCCTGACGCACCTCCAGCTGGTGCCCTGGGCAGCTCCCAGGGAGGTGCCGCGCTCGGGGGAGCCCGGAGCCCGGCAGCTCGGAGGAAGGGTGATGGGACCAGAAGGCTGTGAAGCGTTCCAGGGCCATAGGTGGCTCTTCAGCGGCCTTGAGTCCATCCTGTAGAATCCTCTAGGGATTTTGAAACTCAGCCCTCATTTCTTACTACAAAATGGAGTTTGGGGATAGTATACGCACGAAAGCTGCTCCCAAAAGCTCTGTTGCTGACCTTCTGGAAGCGTACTGGGAAGCGGGTCCTGTTTCTGATGCGAGGATGGGCAAGCTGTGGCCGCTTGTATTCATCCCACAAACCTCCACGGAGCGCCCACGAGAGTGGATCGTGCCAGCAGGGCTTTCTCTCCTCATCCGTAACACCAGGACGATAGATAACTCTTTGACTCGATTCATCCCTCCAAGGGAGCTTATTCTAAGGCAGTTACTCCGCGGAAAAGAAATGCAACATTTATGAGGGTATGTGCATTATCTGTAATACAAAAAAGCCCCCCCAAAACAGATGTCTAGCGGCAAAGGGATAGTTAAACAGGCCGCGGTAGAGCGCACAATGGGTTATTACGTGCACGGGTGCTCTTAGGAAGACGGGGTGACAGCATGACCATATTTATGATTATTACATTAAGTGGACATATACAGAATGCAAAATTGCATGTGCGCAGCGTTTGTAGTTATATAAACACATGTAAAAATATATCTGCCTATGGAAAGATCTAGAAGAGAAATGCATTGTGTGTGTGGGGAACTGTTTTTGGAAAAATTCCTTTATTATCATTACTATTTTAATTCATTCATTTATTAAGGTAGTGAATGTTTGAGGGCCTCCCACCCTCGATACGGTGGTGGGCCTGACCTGAGCCCCCTGGTGCAAGGTCCCACTTTGCTCAGCCGCCTTACCTTCTAAGTGCCCTGGGACGGAAGGCTAGCAGCGTGGTTTGATGCAGAGCTGAAACCTGCCGGGGTAAAAATGAGTCTTGGTCCTGCGCTTTTCCCCAGGGTGTTCAGGCCTTTGTTGAGCTGGTCCCGGATTCGGCTGAGAGGCAGAGAAGTTTCCAGAGCCTCCACCCCTCCTGAGGGTAGTGAACTATTCCCAGCAAGCAGTCCTGTGGGAGCAGAGCCTGCCTGGCACCGAAAAGGCTTCCCGGGTTTTGGGGATGTCCCAGAAAGGAGAACCACTGTTGTGGGCTCTTTCTCTAGGTGCCAAACACTCAGGTGGTAGACCTTGCCTGTGAGACACGGTCCTGGGAAGCTGGTGGTTGGCTCAGAGAGACTCTTGTGGAAATGTTAGACAGCCACTTAATGGTGCTTGCTGCCCACACTCTGAGTAAAGTGCTCTGGGTGTTTGGACGATGGACGGAGGTGATGAGGAGGACATTTATGACAAAAGCAAACATTGATTGAATGCTCTCGATTCTGGGCTCTTAGCCAGGACCCAGAATACCACACCCCAGCAGTCTTTCCAGCCACTCTGGGAGGTTGGTGAGTTCTCACCACCCTTACATAGGAGGGAACAGAGGCCCAGAGAGGTGGGTTAGCCTCCTGACGTCACAGCAGTGGGGACAGAGGGGAGCCAAATCAAGATCTGGCTGACTGCAGAACCCACGCCTTTGCATTTTCTGTGTCACAGCACGCTTTGGCTCCACAGAGACAAGTGTCACCTGTGGACCCCTCTCTGCCTCCCACTTCCACTCCCCATCCGTTCCTCCCAGAATGCCATTGCCTCTCCCCTTGGCAGCTCCTCCACTCAGCACACCACATGCTTCCGGGACAGCCTTCTTTAAGAAGTGTGATTAGAGCCCTCCTGCGTTAAAGGAAGGATTTCCTGTCTCTTTTAAGGACAAAGACTGTGTGTGACCTCTTCACCCAGAAGTTTGAGGACCCTAATACAGCGCTTGGCACATAGCAAGTGCTGAGTAATTAAATGAGGATTATTGTAATCAGTGCTAAATTAACCTCACCGCATTCCTAAAGAAATAATGTGCATCAATAATAATAATAATAATAATGATGATGATGATGATGATGTGCATCCATGCAGAAGGCTCTCCAGTGCAGAAGTTGGGAAAATGGCCTCTGGAACCAGACCCAGACAGCCTGGGTTTGAATCGTGCCTGTGCCATCGCTTGCTTCTAATCTTGGTGATGTTGTTATTTCTCTGGGTGTCAGTTTCCCCATCTGTGCAATGGGGGCAATCATAGTACGGTTAGGGCTGCCATGAGGATCAAATGTGTAAACGTGTAAAGCATGTGGAGCAGAGCTTTGCCACAGTAAGCACTTGATGAACGCGAATTACTGTTCTTAACCATTCCTGTTACTGTCCCACACAAGATTAAGCAGAGCTGGACTTCTAGGGAGACTCCCCACATCCTGGATGTGGATTCTTACCCCACCTGTGGCTGCAGAGTCCTGGTGAATGCCATGGACCTCCCTGCTGATTCTCCACCGCTGTCCTAGGGCTCTGTCGGTGGATCATTTCTCCAAGAAGACTGGATGCATGTCCGGTGGGGGGCGGGGTGGCGGCAGGGAAGGCTGGCGTGGAGCCAGACCTGAGTCCTAGCTGTGCCACTCTGTGAGCCTGGATAGTCCCCCTCGGCTTCAGGGAACCCAGTTCCTAACCTGGGAGGTGAGGACAGTCATCGCTACTTCATGGGGTCATGATTGGGGTGACAAGAAGAGGATCCATGCCCTAAGACACAGGGCATTGCAGGGGCTCAGCCCATGTGCCTCTCTCATGCTGGAGGGCGAGGGCCTCCTCAAAACTGTGTGAGTACCCCCCTGCCCCGGCCTGTACCAGTGAGTAGACCATGGCGTGGGTCTCCCAGAGTCTGTGCCAGTGAGCGAGGACAGGTGGACAGACGTGTGGGACGTGTAGGTTGTAGATGCAGCCCCGAATCTGAGTACACCTCTCCTCCTCACCCCCTGCCTTGTCTCTGCTCTTCCTTTTGTTTCTTCTGGGGCAGGTGCAGCAAGGTGAGGAAGGTGTCCTCCCAGTGCAGGTGAGAGATGGGCCACTGGGAGCCTCCCTGGCCCTCACCCTGCTCTCCCTGCTCAGACCCCAGACCCTTCTTTCCCTGTCGAGCGCCATTGGATGCTTGGGAGTGGCAGACACTTGGACTGTGGTCCAGGCTTCCCTTCAGAGGTGGTCACCCCCGGCCTCTGCTGGTGGTTTCTCCTGCTGGGTTTCCTGGGTGAGGGATGGTGGGTTCTGGCCGGAAGGAGGAAGGGCTTCAGAGGGCGGTGAGCTGCAGGTGCAGGAGAGAGTTGCAACCACGGATCGAGACTGTTGAAAGGAGCGTTGTTCCCAAGGCTCTGCAAGCACAGGTGGGGTGAGAGTCTTACTCCATTGGGGTGTGAGGATCACTGACTCCTAGTGGGCTGATGGTTGGGGGTGACTGCTGGCATTAGGGGCAACCTGTGCTGCTGGGGGCATCAGGGCCCAACTCCATCCTCTGCAGGACAGAGAGCCATGCCGGCCGGGGGGTGGTGGGTGTCGTATGCGCACGCGAGCCTTGTCTGTGGGTGAGTCTGAATGTAAAGAGGATCTTGGTGAAGTTTGAGGGAGAGATCTAATGATGAAGCGTTCCTTTAAAAATGTAAGTCTGCTCATGTCCGCCCGCTGCCGAGAGCCCTTTAGCGACTCCCAGTCCGCTTGGTGTAAAAGCCAAAGTTAAGGCTAGGGTTTCTCCCCTCCTCTCCATTCTCACTTTGCCCCAACCCCATTGGCTTCCTTCCTATTCCTTGAACACACCAGGCAGGCGTCCTGCCTTGGAGCCTTAGTCCCTCTTGGAATGTTCTCCCAGGCGCCCACAGGGCCTGCTGCCCCTCTTGAGTGAGTGAGGTCCTCTCTGATCACCGTGGGTGAAAGTGCACCCTCCCTGCTGCCTCACCCCCTTGGGCTCCATGTCCCTCCCACGCCTTCTACTACCCGCAAGCGCCGTGTGCTTGTGATTGCCGTCTTTCCTCACTAGAATGAGAGCTCTAGAAGGGGAGGGATTTGTATCTGGTGTAGTCATTACTCAATTCTCAACAGAGTGAACTCTTCAATAAAATTCAAATGAATGGAAGAAAGAAGAAAGTCAGTGATAAATCGGCCAATGCCTTGGGGCGGTTTGGCTGTCGGAGCCCAGTGGGACCCACTGAGTAATTTCCAGTTTTGGAAAATTGGAGTCATTATGACACCAGTCAAGCCTCCAGTGGGTCTGGGTGAGAACTGTCTCTTAGATGTGCGTGTGTGCGTATGCGCGTGGACGTGTGTGTGTGTGTGTGTGTGTATGTTCTGTGTCTTCCAGGGTGGTGCTGGGTGTGTCCCAGGCTTCTGAGACTAAGCTTGTGGCTCTGTGCTACAGGTATGAGGAGCCCCTTATTTAGGTTCTCGGCATGTAAGTTCAATAAAGTTATGTGCATGAAGGCGCTGGGAATTTGGATTAAGGACCCACGAGGATTTAAAGAGTTGGCCCCAAGGATGTTAATTGCAGCATTATTTCTACCGACAAAGATTGCAAGTAACCTAAATATCCAATATCCTAAACATACAACCTTGGGATGTTGCATAGCTTAAATCGTAGTGCATTTAGACCTGTTGGCCTTTAAAAATGCCAGGAACATGGGGCGCCTGGGTGACTCAGATGGTTAAGTGTCTGCCTTTGGCTCAGGTCTTGATCCTGAGGTCCTGGGATCGAGCCCCACATCGGGCTCCTGGCTTGGCAGGAAGCCTGCTTCTCCCTCTCCCTCTGCCTCTCCCCCCTGCTCATGCTCTCTCTCTCTCTCTGTATCTCTCTGTCTCAAATGAATAAATGAAATCTTTAAAAAAAATTAAAAAAATAAAAATGCCAGAAACTCGACAAAAGTTTACTCCTTGCTAAAGTGTTCATAGTATACCATTAATAGAAAAAAAATAGGTTTCTAAATTGGCATGACACCAATTAATTATTAAAAATGAAATACGTGGAGGAAAAAGAGGTCATGCATACACTTGTTAATGGTGGGTGGCTTGTCCCTGAATTGTGGAATAATAGTTAATTTATCTTCTTCTTGGTGTTTTTCTTTCCCAATTTTTCCTCAGTAAATAGGCATTTCTCATGAATTAGGGAAAAAAGTCATGTTATAAATGTAAAAATATTTTGGCTGGATTTTCATGTACTTTAAAATGTGACAAACATGTCTCGTGTTTTATTTTTATGCCTATCGTAATGTTTTAACCATATGATTACCCAGACCTTGTCCCCAACTTAATGCAAATATCTGCTCATACGATGTGGCTTGAGTCTACAGATCAAAAAATAGATTTTTTTTTCACATGTGTGAACTAGGAGCTTGAGAATGAGGAGGGATAAAATAGAAAATTCACAGAGCAACCCGTTGACAGGCTCTTTGAAATAAAATTATGTGTTCTTAAAAATTATCTAAGACCAGGAAAGAGAACGTTAGATCCTATCAGCTCAGTTATGAGTGACATAAAAATAACAGACAAGTGCTTTTCCTCTGTGACTTTCTGTGCCATTTCATTCTGAGATTGTTAGACTGAGCGTCTCTTCTAGACGAAACTCTTGTTGAGGAACCATTTGAAAAGCCCGAGGTGCATCGAAAAGGCTGTGATGTGCTGCCCAAACCCCTTTCAGAGGTCACGCCCCCATGCCAGCTGCCAGGGGTGATGGCTACTGACAGCTCATGGCTGAGTCCCTCCCCGGGATTGGTCTTCAGCTAAAGGAAGCTTCCTCTCTTTGGTTGGGGTACCGAGGCTGACCCCTTGCCTCCATTTGGGACACCTCAAGGGGCCGTCCCAGCTCAGAGTTGCCCATGGGTCTGGCAACCGATGTTGTAGCCCAGCTGCCCCTCTGCCCAGGCCTGCTTACCTCATGGGGTGGACTGCTCCTTCAGGCACACCTCCACTTCAGAGTCTGCTTCTTGGGAAACCCTACCTCAGACCCTGATTTTCCAGTGAGGAGGGTGTGGAGAAGAAAGTGGGACACTCCTCCCAAAGTCTGGCACTCCAAGCTGAAATGAGAAAAAGCTTGGCTCTCAGAATTGCAGTCTGGTGTCTCCTTTTTCTCTTACTCCATTGAGAAAGAGTGGCTTTGATTCTTTTTTTTTTTTTTTTTTTAAAGTTTTTATTTTTTTTGGGGTGGGGGAGAGGGGGAGACAGCAGGAACGGGGGGGCAGGGGGGGGGAGGAGCAGAGGGAGAGGGGCAAGCGGACTCCACGCTGAGCTCAGAGCCCAGACGTGGGGCCTGATCTTGGGACCCTGAGATCACGACCTGAGCCGAAATCAAGAGTTGGATGCCCAACTGACTGAGCTGCCCAGGGGCCCCTAAGTGGCTCTGAGTCCTGGGGTCCTCAGTAAAACCCAGAGGCTGCAGACATTGGTCTGGCTACCTCTCCAGCTGTGTCTACCCCCCCCCCCCCAACATGCACCTTCTGTGGCTGCTCCCAGAGACTGGCCCTGACCACTGGGGACAGGCTGCCTGCCACAAGCCGTGCCCTCCAAGGGTTTGTGGGGCTGGCCACACAGGTCTTTACCTGTGCCCAGGCAGATCTGTCATTCTCCGAGGCCAGAATCTTTGGCGGCCCTTCGCTTGCTGCTGTCCAAGCACCCAGTTTTACCTCGACTCTAACAAACTCTCAAAATATTACCAAACCCGGTGGCCTTTTGTTGATAAGTGGATGGACAAATGGAGGACGGTAGTAGCTCCTTAGTGTTTAGTTGGGGGCCACTCCTCATGCCTGCAGGACAGACAGAGCTGCATTTCTCCAGTGTGGCACCTTGCCTGCCTCTCAAGTTGAGTGTCTTCTCTGGCTCCTTCTCCCCATCTGTTGAAGCTTAGGGCGCAGCCCCATGGAACTGTGATCTCCCCTGGGCTTCGCTGTTTCAGGCCTTCAAGCTTCCTCTCCCTGGAATGCCTGGAATTCCCCCTTGTCTCAGGGGATGGCCTCTCTCATCTGTTTCCTTTCTCTTTCCTGGCCGGTCCTTCTCCAGCAGGCAGTGTGCTGGGCCCTGGGCCCTGGGCCCTGAGCATCTTGGTTTTTTTTTGGGGGGGGGGGGACTTCCCTTGTCTTTGTTCCTTTGTGGCCCCCTGCCCTGTGAATGCTGTAAACTTCTCTCCTGCCCTTTCCTCCCTGTGTTGGCGTGGTGCATTTCCTAGCTGGCCCTCTGACCTCCAGACTTGCTCTTGCAAACCTATCGGGAAAGACATTTTGATCATGTGTTCCCAGCGTGGGTATTTTCGCCTACAAGTTATATACATATACTGCTGTGTGTATTGTATCATGTGCATTATAATAATACAAACCTCTCTACAAATGGGCTTTTGAGAGGATGAGATAAGGAATGTTCTCTTTTCCTTATCAGAGGAAAGGGCCTCTGAGCTAGAATTCCTGAACTGAGAACTAGCTGGGGGAGTGCCAGGGATCGAGTCTCCCCTGCCTTCTCCAGTGCCTGGTACAGATCAAGTGGACTTAGCTTCTTGGAGGGGAGTTCATGTCTGGGTATGAGAAGCACTTGCCAAGAAGCAGACAGTGCAGGGAAGTGTGGGTGTCCTGACGGTCTGGGTCAGTCTCAATGTGTGTGGGGGGGTCCCCGTGGGGATCCATCCCCCCAGGAGGTTACGTCCTGTTCACAACTTCCAGAGGGTGATAATAACACTACTAACACTTTCCATTTGTTTGGCAAATATTTACTGAGCACCTAATGTATTCCGGATGTAGCACGAATTGGTGGTGTAGAGGAAGATGCTACCTCGAGTCCCGCCCTCAGGGAAAACTGACCAGGTGCCCAATTCCTGTCCGGCGTGATGGGGAGGCGCCTGAAGGTACACGGGGTACCTGTGAGTGAGGGGGTTGGAGGTCAAAGGTGACTCCGAGGAGGAGGTGGTTCTTGACTGAACCTTGAACCTTCCCAGTCAGAAGGGCACCGAGAATATTCCAGGCGTCGGGAGCTGCATGTGGTGTATGGCCGTGGTCGCGCATCAGGAGTGTACCTCACATCTGTAAAATACGTCTCAAGATCTTTGGAGAAGTTTATGCGACTGAGACCCTGTACTACCAACGCTCCCCTCCCTGTGGGATTTAAGGATTTATCCCTACTCTTACAGATGTGGAGACATCCCAGAGAGGTTTAGGAGACTTCCCAAAGAGGGCTAGTGGCCGGGCCTAGATCAGAACCCCCTCCCTATGCCCAGCCCACCTCCCTAGCCCTGTGGCACCACCCCTGCCTGCTGGAGGGCTGGCTTGGTCTTCACAGCGAGGTAAGTGGGGAGAGGGTCCGCTGCTCCCTTGGGCCATTGTGGAACTGGCTCTCTGTCAGGTGCAGGTAGGGGGGGGAGTGAGGGTGTCAGGTCCCTTGTGACACAAAGCCTTTTCACCCAGGCTGTCACCTTGGCTTGGCGTCAACATGGAGGTCATCAGGGCCCTTGGTCTGGAGCCGAAGCAGAGAGGGCCGCGTAATGGATGGATCCTGGGCCCTTGATTTATTTGCAACTCCTCGGGAAACGCTCCCCCCTTCAGAGTGTGGGAGGGAGTGGGAAGTCACAGGTCGGTTTGGCCCCCTTGCAGGCAGAGTAGATTTAGGGGAAGTCCAGACCCTTGCTAGGGGGCAAGTTCCTGTGGACAGGGCTGTGTCTTGCTCAATGGGCGGGAACGGCCTTTGGAGCCCGACTGACCTCAGTTTGCCACTTGCTAGCCCTGTCACTTTGGACAGGTTACCCCCAAAGCCTTGACTTCCTCCTCTGTAAAATGGGTAACAGCTGACTCTCCCCATAGGACCGCCGTGAGGCCGCTAGGCGCCACGTGCAGAGAGCTTAGCAGCCTGTCTCGAATGTTAAATCCAGCTGTCTGGTAAACGTTCTCCACATGTTAGCTGTTGTCTTTACCTTCCGTGCTCCCAGTGTGCCCGGCTCGCACGGGGGTGCTGTTTGTTGGAAAGGATATATGAACTCGGGTTCGTTAGCATTTATTAAATAAGGAAGTATTAAAATTTGGATTGAGTTGTTTCTGGCCTCCCATAAATGAAACAGGCGTGGTAGATTTTTACTGCCGGGAAAACCGTCCAGTTTTCTTAAACTCCCCATGGCTCTGAGGTTTTATGATCCTTCTGCACAGCCCTCGAGGATTTTCTTCAGCGTAAACACACCAACAAGGGTGGTGGTTTACAACCAGAGTCTGGTTTGGCTCTTGGTGCCTGGCTGCTGGCTGGGTCTGGGATCTAAGGCCGTCGAGCGGGTAGGTGTGGTGCCTGGCCGCTGGCTGGGTCTGGGATCTAAGGCCATCGAGCGGGTAGGTGTGGTGCCTGGCTGCTGGCCTGGAGACACCAGGGCAAGTGCTTTCTCCCCCCGATGTACATGGTTATGACTGCGCAGTGGCAAAATGTGGAACTCGTCCCGTGGGTTTGCTGGGTGGTGGTTTGCCAGGCGGCGGTTAGCCAGGAGGACGCCTACCAGGGACTCGGGAGTGGCCACGCAGCTGACAGTGCCCTGGAGCCTGCCCGCCCGCCTGTCTGTCTGTCTGTCTGTCTGTCCTTCTGTGTGCCCACAGGCTGGAGGCAGCAGCCCAGGGGACATGGGGGCAGGAGGCTCCAGACGTGGGGGCTCCAACCTTGGCTATGCCCTGTGACTCCCACCCTGGGACTTGCGGTTGAGAGAGTGAAAGGTGGAGAACACTGGCCTGCACCTGGAGGCTTGGCTTCTCTTCCTGTCTGCCACTCACTTGCTGTGTGGCCACAGATAGGACACTCAGATGCTCTGGGCTGCAGCTTCTTCAGCTGCAAAATGGGGAAACTGGCCCCCTGGGTACTTTCCCGATCTATGATGCCAAAACACCCTGGAGGATTGCCAGGCACTGTTCTTTTTTTCTTTTTTTTTTTTTTAAGATGGGCAATTCATGCGTGTGGTAAAAGATATTGAAAGTTATAAAAGGATATAGAGTCAAAGCAAACCTCCCTCACACTGCACCCCACTGCCCCTCCCCCCAGTTTCCCTTATCAGAGGCATTTACTTTGAAGTTTTTAGTGATTTTCTAGGCATATGCACCCACCCTTAAAAATTTTTAATTGTGAAATATCATATACTCAAGCATATATAAAATGTATGTGCAGTTTAATCAACTGAACACCTGTGTACCTACTACTCAGGTTGAGAAATAAGAGAATTGCCAGCGCCTCAGGCAGGAATCATCCTGTTCACTGTTCCTCATTGCCTTTACTCGCCTGAGCACGCTGTTTGTTCTCTCCTGTGCTTGCTTCTGCTCTTGTTCTACCTGGGAGATCGGCTCACATCAGGACATGTAGAGCTAGCTGTCTTGTTCTTTTTAATAGCTGCATAACATTTCCTCTGCACGGATGTGCCCTTATCTTATTATTATTGTTATTTTTTACCGATCCCCTCTTGCTGGATATTCAGGGTGTTTCCAATCTTTTGTCATTACTTACAATGGCTGCAGTAATTTTTCGGGCTTCCAGGAACCACCGTTAATGAAAAATACGCTGTAAGAGGTCTTAATTACATCAGCCTCCCTGACCTGCCAGTCATTTCTAGAACAACATGGAAATGCTCTAGCAGGAAGCCCTCCATGGCTCTGGGGTCCTCATGCATGGACGTCCTGGGCCACTCACCTGGAACCAGCGCTTCCTGTCTGATGCCTCCCTTTCCCCAGTGCCCCTCGGGCCCGGGTCTTGGGGAGGGTGGGATCTCCAGTTGGGTGTGTGCCTTGGTTGCTGGCCAGAAGTGGTTGCTGGGGAGAAGCGCATGGATGGGAACGCAACTGCAGGCTTCCCTCCAGGCAGAAAAGTTCCTTTTCTTTGGATTATGCAATGTCCCTGCGAGGGGCCCGGGTCTGCTCTTCTGCTTTTCTTCTGCAGAAAGGAGTGAGGCAGGGGGGCTGGTTCAGGTGCGCCAGCCCAGGCCAGTGTGTTTTTGAACTGCTGCTCCTCCCGTTTCCTTTCCTGCTTCATCTGCTTCTTCCTCATGTCCTTTTTCCTTTTTTGTCCTTCCGTTTCTCGTTCTTCATCCCCACACCGACCCCTTTGAACCAAAATCCCTGGGAAGCTTGAATCCACGTGTGCAAAAGTTCTGGCTCTTCTCTCCTTTCTCTCTTGGTTCTGTATGTGGACGGTCCTGGGGCGCCGGGGCGGCTCTTGGCCATGATCTCAGGGTCGTGAGGTCGAGCCCCGCATCAGGCTCTGTGCTGGGCATGGAGCCTGCTTAAGGTTCTCTCTCCGTTTCCCTCTACCCCTCCTCACCTCTCTCTGTCCCCTGCACCTCTTAAAAAAAAAAAAAAAGATGAATGAGGACAGTCCCTGGTGTAGAAATTGTGGGGTGGTGTGCACTGAGATCCAAGGCCAGTGAATGGGCGGCATCAGGGCCTTGGTGGCCTTTTGCTGCTTCTTTCTCCTTTTGAGCAGATCTTCTGCCTCTGGTCTCTTTACTTCCTCCTTCAGGATCTGTGGCTGTGACATAGGGAGGACAGACCTGCCCAGCAGGTCATGAACAGGCAGCGGAGGAGATGACATCCTCTGGATTTGGAAGGGTGAGGGCCTGGGAGGTGGTGGAGTTCTCAGGGGGAAGAGGGGATGCAGGCACCTTCTCAAAGTGACGATGCTCCTTGGGTTCACCAGTCTGGGCAGAAAGGTGATGACCTAGAAGCTTGTCAGAATTGGTTCGGAGAGGCCAACAGGCCTAGGTCTGGAAGCATTTTTGTAGTTGTGAGTCTGCATGGACCTGTGTGCTCAGAGGGCAGGAAAGCACGTAGCAAGCATGTGGGCTCCAGAATCGGCTTGCCTAGGTCTCTCCAGGCTCTACCTCTTGTCAGTGCACTGGAGGGACCGTGTAAAAATTACTGCGTCTCAGTTTCCGCCTTCGTGAAATGGGGCTGTTGGAGCATGAAATGAGATTATCTTATAAAGCGTTAAGCACATCGTAAATGCTGTATGTTAACAGTTATTACTGTCTTTTAGGTGGTTTCCGAACATTTCAGGCAGAGCAATCATCTTTTTCTCCCCTGCTAGTGAAATTTTCTGTGGAAGTGCTCCAGAGTGCACTTTGCAACTCTTAGGTGTAATCGAGTTGTGCCGATGGGTACCACCTTTGTGCCTGGTACTTTGACAGTTCTTATGAAAACTGAAGATGTGTATTAGGGTTCAGCAGTCTTAACGCCTGGGAATCTGACATCTGACACAAACCATGCCTGTATACACACAGGTGTATGTTCACTGTCGCTTTGTCCGTAGAAGCAAAAAGTTAGAGACCCCTAAGTGTCCAGCAGGAAGAGAAAATTGGATCATTTATGAAATACTCTATGACTGTGAAACGGACACGATAGATCTATGGACTGTCTTGGAATTATTTCCATGGTCTGTTAGTGTAAAAAAAAAGTCAGGCAGAATGATATATATGGTGCATTCCTGTTTTTTTTAAAAGCTTATGTATGTGTCCATACCTCTTTGTACAGATGTGCACAGACCCAGAGAGAACTCCATCACTCACCAGTGCCTCCCAAACTGTTCACAGGGCTTGACTTTTGCTGGATGGAGGGAAAATTGGCTTTTTTTACTCTAAGGAGTTCTTCCCTGCCCATGAAAGACAAGTTCTTTGGGTGATTTTGCTTTCTAATTGTTTTCCTGCAAATTAAGAAGAGGCAGGTCATCCTAGAGGTAAGGATGGATTTGCCCAGGGGTGCACAGGTCTTTGCTCTTAAAGCTAGCCTGTGAAAGCAGAGGCCCCTGGCTCCTACCTCGTTTGGCCCCTGGGCAGGCTGGCTCTGTGGGCTGTGTTCCTGATACACTCGGCTTGCCATCTGTTGAGGAAGCAGTTGTGAGGCTGTTAGCTGTGCCTCCCTCTCAGTAGGCCTCCCCGAGGTGATGGGATCACCCCTTAATTATTTACAGGGGTCAGCCACCTCA